TAATATTTCCTGCAGGGCTGGTTTAGTGGTCATGAACTCCTTTAGTTTCGTTTGTCTGGGAAAACTTTTTTTTTTTTGTCTGGGAAATTCTTTCTCTCTCCTTCTGTTCTGAATGATAGCCTTATTGGCTAGAGTATTCTTGGCTGCAGATATTTCCCATTCAGTACTTTGAATATATCATGCCACTCCCTTCTGGCTTGGAAAGTTTCTGTTGAAAAATCCCCTGCTAGCGTAATGGGGTTTCCCTTGTATGTAACTGTCTTGTCTTGCTGCTTTTAAATTTTTTTCTTTATCACTATATTTTGTCATTTTAATTACAGTGTGTCTTAGTGTGGATTTGCTTTTTTTCTATTTTGTTGGATGTTCTCTGTGCCTCTCGGGTCTGGATATCTGTTTTCTTCCCCAGATTTGGGAAGTTTTCAGCTGTTACCTCTTCAAATAAATTTTCTGCCCTCCTTTTCTCTCTCCTTTTCTTCTGGGACTCCTATAATATGAATGGTACTGTGTTTGATGGAGTCACTGAGTTCCCTAAGTCTATTCTCATTTTGTATTATTCTTTTTTCTCTCTTTTTTCAGCTTGGTTATGTCCCATTACTGTCTTGTAGTTTATTAATTCATTCTTCTGCTTCTTCCATCCTACTGTTCATTCCATCAAATGTATTTCTCATTTTATTCACTGAGCTCTTTATCTCTTCTGTGTGTTCCTTGTCTCTGTCTCTGTGTTGAGGGTCTCGCTGGTGTCTTCCACTCTTTTCTCAAATCCAGTGAATGTATTTAGGATCATTACTTTAAAATTCTCTATCAGGCATGTTACTTATATCTGTTTTATTTGGATCTCTGTGGCCTTGTCCTTTTATTTCATTTGGGACAAATTCTTCTGCCTTCTCATTTTGTCTAAGTCTCTGCCTGCTTCTTTGTATTAGGAAAGTCAGCTTCATCTCCTGTTCTTGAGGGTAATGCTCTTATGAAGAAGAGGTTTTGTAGTGCCCTCCTGGGTAGTGTCACCTCTTCTCCACAGCCTGGCGCTTCCAGGAGTATCTCTAAGGTGTGCTGTGTGTGCTCTGCTGTTGTGTCCTGGCCACTTTATCCTTCAGGCCCGTCGTCTGCAGAGGCTCTTTTCACCTGTTGTGAAATGAGACCTATCACTACCACCAGTGCAACTGAGGCCCTGTAAAACTCTTGGGTTGGGAGAGGTGGTGTGGGCAAGGGTTTGGGCAGGTTTTCTGGGGCAGTCGGGGGGTGGCCATCACCCTGGGACTGACACAAATGTGACTGGGAAGGGTGGTTCTTTTGGAGCACAGGAGGGTGGGGCTTGGTGTCAGCAAGTTAGGTAGTGGGTGTGGAGGCTGCGCTTGTTCCCGCAGATGGCTGTGTGCTTAGGCTGAGGGATGGGAGAGGGAAATGGTGCCTACAAGCGCCTTTGTTCCTGGTGAGGTCTGTCTGGGACACACTCTGAGATGAGCAAATAACCAACCCACTTTGTGCCCCAGGTGCTCTTCAGATCACTGTTTCCACACTGTGTGTCCACAGGTTTGCCCTGCCTTCTTCCCCAATGACCCTGGGCTCTCCCTGAACCAAACCTGCCAATCTTTAGAACTCCAGGCGTTAAGCCCTGCTGATTGCCAGAACTCATGAAATTTCACCCCTGTTGCTTTCCAAGCCCAGTTGCTATGGGGATTTGTTTTCCCCTTGTTGTTTTCCCCTTGACTCCCCTGTGTGCTAGTCTGTCTTTTGCCTGTCTCTGCTACTGGGGCTCCCTCCCCATCGCAGCAGCCCATCTTTTTCACTGCCTCTGCATTTTCCTACCTTCTTCAGTGTGACTTCTTCTCTCCCTTTAGCTGTAGAGTTTGCTCCGCCAGTCTTCAGATGGATTTCTGGGGGTGTTCAGGATGATTTGTTAGTTATCAAATTGTATTTGGGGATAAGGTGAGCCTAGGATCCTCCTACTCTACTACCATCATCAAAGACAAACAGTTTTAACTAATGAACTCTTTCCATTTTATCATACAGTGTGGGGAAAGGGATAAGCTTCACAGGCTTCAGTCTTGGGAGTAGGATGTCCTTCCCTCTCTTACTTTCTTTGCCATATCTCTCCAGTCTTCCTCCTTAGGGGCCTCCTCAAGAACCTTTTAGTTTTTAGTGTACCCATCCACTCTGCTCGGAAATTACATCCTTTCAATCAAAAGAAGTCCCAGGCCCTGGATCCTTTCTTGTGTTAAGACTTTTGTGGCATGTTGGTGGAGGCTTTTCTCTCCTTAGTCTTTGCCTGTGTCGAAGATGAAAGGGCAGGCTCTGGTTCTGGCGATGGGCTTATGTTATTAAGAGTTCTGATTTCAGTTCATTCTCTTCACAGAAGAGAGCTTCACTCAATTTCTAGCAAATATCCTAAGAGCAAATACAGATCACCATAGTAAATATTAATTAACTTTCAAAGATAACACAATCTAGCTTCATATGAAGCATGTTTTTCTTAATATCATTTTGACCCCATTCATTATGAAATAATAATACTGGCATTGTACTAAGGAGTTTTTGTAAAAATAATTTCATGAATTTTCTTTATTTCTTTTTTCTTTTTTTAAGATTTATTTATTGACTTTAGAGAGAGAGAGCCAGCACACACATGTGCAGGGTGGGGGCGAGAGGGAGGGAGGGAGGGAGAGAGAAAGGGAGAGAGAGAGAGAGAGA